TTATCTATTTATTTATCAATTCATTCGATAGGCTTTCAAATAATAGGCTTTGCTTTCAATAGACTCTTTCGGGTTCACAGACTACAGACACAAGTCCTAACATTTGGTTATATTTCTTACAAATGCTTGCAATCGATTTACTGCTTATACTGTATAACAAAAACACAATTTTCTCCTACATTAATGACAAAATCGAGTCAATCTCGATGTTAATGCAAACATCAAAGTGAACACTAAATCATTAAAACACAGCAATTCATACTCTCTATTCATCCATTCATCTCAAATCACATCTTCTTTCCAGATGATTATTCAATTTTAAAATTATTATAATATTATTATAGCTTTTACTTCATTGACACATTTAAATGCATTATAATGATTCTCCAAAACTCTTAAATTAGTGATCAATGGCTCATTAAAGCATTTAAAACCACTTATCATTAGCTCTCACTTTGCTTCCAAACGAATCGACAATTTTTGTGCACTAAAAACTCAATTATAATAAATGACTATAATTTAGAAATTACTTAATGCCTGATATAAAGAATGAAATATTGTTTTCATAGAATTAGTGCAATCATTGTTTGAAACTTAAGTGAATCAATACATGTTTGAGTGCTTTTGCGTCAATTCATTGGTTAACACAAATGATAGACTCATCCGATATCTCCTAAAATAGATTTTTTGCACAAATGACAATAATTTGGCAAAAAGCATAAGTTTTGGCATTTTTAAAACAACTTCAAATTGTATCACAATTCATTGGTTAACACAAATGATAGACTCATCCGATATCTCCTAAAATAGATTTTTTGCACAAATGACAATAATTTGGCAAAAAGCATAAGTTTTGGCATTTTTAAAACAACTTCAAATTGTATCACACATTCTATATTATTATTTTAAATATATATTTACGTCGACTTACAGTATAAACATCAAAAAATTTAAAAAAAATAGCTTTAAATTTATTAGTCATTATAATTACGCAAAATAAAAAATTGCAAAAATAAATAAAACGCAAAAATACGCAAAAATTATCGTTTCAATGATTAGATCCGTGGTCGCCGTTATCGACATGTATATCATTACATAGATTTGAGTGCATTTGCAAGTCTTGTACCAAATGGTGCTGTTCTTCGGCACTTAGAGTAATGTCAGAGGACTTTCTGTAGTCATTAATAACAAAACGGAGTAATTCAGTGAAAAACTTGGATTCGCATTGTGTTTCCGGATCGTATCGATCGAATTGATCCAAATTATCCTGAAGTTTAAGAGTCAATGTGTCGTAATTGTTGCGAACTATTTCCAGCACTTGTTCTTCAGTAAGCGATGGGATCTGATGTGTGGAAGAGTAGGTCTCGATTTTGGCGTTGAAGTGATTTATAATGGCTTTGATGTTGACAAGCGAAGAGGAAAGCTTTGTCGCCGACTCTTTGTGCTCTGCCTTCTCGTTTGACACATACCGGAGCGCTTGGGTCGACAAAAAAGGCAATACAATACAACAGAAATAGATATTTTAGTACATTTGCATCCAATAGATATATATTTAGTGTTTTATATGCTTTTAATCGATTACATACTCATAGAGTAGAGCTGCTCGAAGACTGAATGCATACGAATTATCTCATAATAGAGTTCATCGTAAGATTGAGGCGATGGCAGGAATGTATCGCCAAATGTGATGAACAGATTGAATATATTCACCACATTTAGAGCCAATGTAAATATGTTACACCTTTTCAGGAGTTCCGTCTCATTGGTTAAAATGAATTTCATTAAAACTATTAAAGCGGACCACAAGTCCTTCCACACGTAATCGACTCTTATTTTGCATTTCTTCTGATAACACAGTAATCGATGGATGACTCCAATGCACAGCAGATACAGATCGAGTAACAGATTCTTTCGCGTGTGAGTTAATATGAATTCCACCATTAAGTCCATCACAGAGTAGGAAAGGGGTCGCGAAAGCTTGCTCTGAGCGCACACTTTCCGGTGCCTCATTGGCTACCAATTAAAAGCGCCATATATTCTAAACTACTGAATGTAACATAAGTTTAAATTAAAACACTTACCATACGATGTAATTGCACAGTAAACGGCAAATTCATGTCATGCATGATGGCATTGGCGCACTGGTCCTCCGTAATACAGGTCAGGATTATGAAACACAGACGCGATGTCTGTAGTATCGCTTCGTCTAAATTGTTTTCAATCATTAATTATAAGATTCAGTGATTGACAATAAAATATCATTAAATTAGTGCCAAAACACACCTTTTGTGTAAAGCATTACAATGGAAGAGAATTCTAGGAAAGCGACCAAAAGATTGGAGGGCGGGCTCTGCATCGATTCCAGAGTATCTTCAATGGGAAATACATACAAATCAAATGGTCATTAAAGTTGTCACCAAATTAATTACAAGAGAGGCAACCCTTACCCTTATTTATTTCGTTGGTTGGGTCAGGATTTTCACAGGGAATGGTGTAAACGTCTGTTGGGGACTAAAAATATTCGCAAATTTTTAGAAAGTATAAGAATATTAAACAGTAACAATTTGTTATGATGGCTTACAGTCGTAAGAAGTGTAATGAAATTCCTATTCAGATGAACCGCTTCATAAAAGGCTAACAAAACAGAATTATTAGTCTTCAGATTGCTTTTTGAGATGCCGTTGTCATCCGCAATAAACATGTTTCCAACCTTTTCATAGATATTATCATTGAATACAATAATTTATTTGATAAAACAAAACCATTCAATACCATATTTGTTAACGTATTAAATATTCCACTTGATTTGGATTCATTATTAATTTCATCAAACCTTTTATTAAACTCTAATAATTCATTTGATATGACACGAGAGTAACCCTAAAATTGTGGATAATTTTAAAAATGACACCAAAATAAATACAGTAATCATATTATAGTTCTCACATTCAATTGTATCTCATCGTCAACTATCGACAGTTTCATGATATAAGGATTGGCAGACTTGTCACACAAAAAATTACAGATTAATTTTTAATTTTATTTTTAATAAAAGTTAGTTAACTCTTACTTCATATTTGCGATAATTAAGGAGAATTGTTAACAAAAGTATCATTTGGTATCCACTTTGATGTCGTTGTTGGTGATGATTAAGCATTTGTATGAATGCATCAAACAATTGGTCCGATATTAAAAGCTCTATCAATGGATTTTTATTGATGTTTTCATAAGCCTTTAAAAAGTGTAAAAATACTCAAAACTATTTGATGGGAATTGATATATAGAAATACTGTACATACCGTAACTAAAACCAAAAACAATTTAATGACTAATGTTTTCAAAAGGACGGGAAGTTCATTGATTAATATATTACATGATGAGTCTATCAACACCTGTAAGTAAATTAAAAGTCAATTTGCTTTACAGTTAAGTAGAAAATTATTAGACATTAGACCTGAGTTTTAAGCTCCAGATCTTGGCGTGCGATCGTGTAATCAATCAAATCAAACTTGGGATGACTTAACCGCCACTTCTCGGACATCACTTTGAAGAGACTGCAAAGGGTCTGAACAACAACACCATTAACACCAACTCTATTGTCATTCAAGTCATATTCATTCATACAATAAGACTGTTGGCGACTCTCATGTTGTTATCACTTTTGACGGCATTGATACTCTCACTGACCATCAGATTAACGATCGGTTTAATTGTGTGAATGTTTGTAATGGACTTCAACTCCAACTCCAATGCATTTCCATTGGCCTAAACATGCAATTCATTAACCAAACCATCATTTCATCAAAAACTTGAGCCAAACCTTCAATAAGAAGAACTCATTCCAGAAGTTATTGTTTTCACTGAACGGCTCTTTGCCCTGAAGTGAACCATTCATTAATCAATTAATTGTCATTAAATTAAACACCAATTAGTGACACATCGGGTAAACACCACTTCAGACAGCCCCCCGTCACCACCGGTCAACCCATACCTCAATCAACGCCTCGTATATCTGCACCACTTTCTCCTTCAAAGCCTTCCTCGACTGCAACAGTTTGGACATGTCTTGGCGTGGGATCAGTTGCACCGTTGGATGTCTCGCCAATTCATATGTCAACCAATGATGCTATGAATGCAACAAATTGTGTGTCAATTGTCAACACAACAGACAGACAGCAATCATATGTCAACCAAAACAATGTGTGCAGTGTTTGCATTGCGCTGATGTAGAGGTCAATGCAGTCAATGCACACAACTCTCCCATTCATTGATTGAGTGGCAAAAAGTTTTTTATTTTATTTATAAGTATTTTTCGTTTAAAGAGATTTTCACATCAAAACCAGATTTCAATACATTTTTGTGAAACAAACCAATCAAACAATTAGAGATATGTTGAGTGCCTCTAATCCGCGACATTATTATCTGAATGCCATTTAACTAATCTATAGCAAAAAGCTTTGATTTATCAGTAATTGTCAATCGCTTACAATAATATGATGTTATGTTGAGTAGGCATACAGTATAGGAAAGGCTTATACATCTCAGCATCCGTTCAGCCAAATAGACTGCAAATCAGTGTTTCACTGATAATAACGTAAACATTGACTGCAATGACATAACACTGCAATCGAGTGCTCATTATATTCGCCAATATATTGGATATTGTAGTCAATGTATCGCTCGTTCAAGTGATTAGATATATATTCATAGATCTATAATATATGACAATACTATAGATTGAGTATTCAATGCATTCATCGATTGTCACCATTTATACGAAGACATGATCACAATCCTATGCCAGTGATTGTGTGTCCGTCCACTCCCACCACCACCTCTTCACCTGTCATTCAGTCTTATTAATGTGAAGAGTTTGTGCACAACTGTATGGCACCAACTATGGCCTCAAAGTGGACACCAATACAGGATAAAGACAAATACGGCATCGGTTTGTCCCTCTCATTACTCTATTTGATCCGCTTTTCTCTTCATTATAATCACATTCCTATCATTTGCTCACTATTTGTATGACTCACTCATGAGCTCTATGTTTGATGTCTTTTGATGGTATAGTTGTGTCAAACCTAAGGCAAGATGTAATGCTTCCGCATAGACTTCATCTGTCGATCGGCGACGCGGTTCGTGTCATAGAAGAACTCAATCAATGGTATTATGGGTATTGTCTTAATAACCGGAACCGTTTGGGAATATTTCCCAAGTCTTACATCTATCACAAGGACGCCGTTATCGACAAAACCGGGTAATTATTGGCACTTTTGTTGAGTCTAATTGAGTTGTCACTGAAATTAATATTTATTTCCACCGGTTAAGTGCTCACGAAGTGGTCATTCCTCGGGAACAGCTTATAATACAGGAGATAACATCAGTAATTAGGGAATGGGGTGTCATTTGGAAGAAACTATATATCGTAAGTCATTGATTGGCTGTATATTTGAAACAATGATTATATTTGGCATAATCTGCGCGCAGACATCAAACCCAGATTTGAAGACAATTCGTGAAATGATGTATGAGTTGATCACATGGAGGAAACAGATAATGTCGGGAACACTGCCCGCGGACGAGATGAAGGAATTGAAGCAAAAAGTGACCGCAAAGATAGATCAGGGAAATGCGTAAGTCATGGATCCATTGCATTGCTGTTTATAGTCATTAAAACCTATTGTGCGTCTGAATGGACAGCATTTTAGGCCTGGATTTAGTGGTTCGCGACGACTCCGGAAATATTCTCAACCCCGAGATAACCAGTACTATAGACATCTATAGGGCTCACGAGGCGGCCACCGATCGCATCAAACAATTGGCGTTAAATATTGAATATAAGAACAAGAGGTCGTCGACTCGTTATAATCACAATCTTTACGTTACGGTTAAGAACTTTGTCTGTCGTATCGGCGAAGACGCGGATCTTCTCATGACTTTATATGACGGCAAAGAATGCGCTTTTATTAGCGAAAACTATTTGGTTAAATGGGGTAAAGAGGGACTCATGCGAGACTTGGATCAACTCAACAATCTTCGAGTAGTGTTTGCGGTAAATAATTGCCTAATTGTGAGTGAATGAAATTGTGAAACTAATGATCAAACCTTGTGATCAGGATCTTGGAAGCAAAGACTTGGTCCGAGAAAAGGTTTATTTGGTTTGTCAGACAATACGAATCGGAGGAATGGAATTGAAAGAGGAGACGAGAAATGTGAGGAAAAGCCATCACCAGAATGTGAAGAGATCTTCGGACGGCTTGAGACGTCCCTTTGGTGTGGCAGTGATGGACATAACGGACTTCTTTAACGGCAAGATTGAAACCGATGAAGAGAAACAACATTTCATACCATTCGCACAGTGCGGGGAAAGGGATTCATTGGATTCAGTGATTCGCAAAATCATATCTGCGCGAGAGATCAGCCAAAAGGAGTGCAAAGGTCAGGGACTGTTTGTATCCATCAAAATACTTCACGGCGACCAGAAGCAGATCCGTGAAGAATACGCACATTTGGTCTCTCCGTTCACATCAGTGGCGCGTAAAATGGGCTTTCCGGAAGTCATACTTCCCGGAGATATTAGAAACGATTTATATCTGACACTAGTTTGCGGTGAATTCAGTAAAGGGAGCAAAAAGTCTGAACGTAATGTTGAAGTGACTGTCAAAGTATGCAATGAAAAGTCACATACACTGCAGAATTGTTTGAGTTTTGGCGCCGGGTCTGAACCGATGAGTGAATATAGGAGTGTTGTCTACTATCACGAAGAAAGACCCAAATGGATGGAAACTCTTAAGATATCGATTCCCATTGAAGAGTTCTATGGCGGACACTTGAAGTTCACATTTAGACACCGATCCTCTAATGATAATAAGGATAAGTCAGAGAAACCGTTTGCCATGTCTTTCATTCGGCTTATGAATGAAAACGGGACGACATTGTCTGACCAGAATCACGATCTCTTGGTGTACAAAGTAGACCATAAACGCTATGATGAGACAGAAGTGGCGTATTTTAAGCTCCCGTCCACTCGTGAGGAGTTGGAACAGAGAGTCAATGATTCCAATTATAACATCAATCAAATTGGTGTCAAACAGTTGGCGAATATGTTTCAGACAAATGGCATCCAAATCAGTCCTAAAGACTCGTTCACTGTATCGACAGTCGTTTGTTCGACAAAATTGACACAAAATATCGATTTATTGGGTCTTTTGAAATGGAAGTTAAATCCGGAACATCTTAAGCAAAATCTATTGGCACTCATGAAAGTGGACGGCGAAGAGGTGGTTAAGTTTCTTCAGGACACACTCGACGCTCTCTTTGACATTCTCATGCAAAACACCGATTCAGACATTTATGATAATCTAGTATTCGAAGCCTTAATCTTCATCATTGGTCTCATATCTGACCGAAAGTATCAACACTTCCGACCTGTTCTTGACGTATATATTGAGCAGAACTTTAGCGCAACGCTTGTCTACAATAAACTGATTGTTGTCCTCAAGAGTTATATTGAAAACTTAAACTCAAAGCCCGAAAGTCAAGAGGTTTTGCTGAGAGCCATGAAATCATTGGAATATATCTTCAAATTCATTGTGAGATCACGAGTTCTTTTTGCTGCACTCAATGGTGGTAAAGGAAAGGGTCAGTTCGAAGAATCACTCAAAGAACTGTTGCAATCGATCACATCCATGATGTTGTCCACATCGGAGAAGACCCTCTTAGTCCAGGGCGCGTGCCTTAAGTACTTCCCGTTCGCATTGACAGACATTCTCTGTGTATTCAATGAGAAAGAGTTGTGTTATATCCTAACGGATCTGATAAATCACGTTCCGGTGGACAGACTCACGAAACAGAAGATGATGTGCGTTAACGACATAATCCAATGCGAACTATTCATCAAATACCACGAATGCCGCTCAATACTTCTTCCGGTTATCAACGATCACTTGAGAGTACTTCTCGAGAGGAAAGAGGAGTTCGAGCTCTGCATTCGGATACTGAGCGATATGCTGGTCGTGCTGTCCAACGGGCGAGACATCGGACCCACAAAGAACGACATCTCTGACATAATGCTATCGGTTTTGCGTACAGTTATCCAGTCATTCATAGACACTGATCGCGACAATCCATTGATTGGCAACTTAGTAGCCATTCTGATCGGAATCCTACGACAAATGACTCCTTTTCATTACAACCAATACATCCAACATTTTCCCACACGAACTGATTTACTCGACTTTCTTATGGAAATTCTGACCGTTTTTAGAGATTTGGTTAAAATTGTATTTCCCAGGGATTGGAATGAAATGATTTTATTGCAAAACAGGTATTATATTAAAAATATAAATATATTAAAAATATATTTAAAAATTTATCATATATTTCTACCGTAAGTTATATTAATGAAAATCATTGCATTGTTTAGTGTCCTACTGAACGCATTACGACATTTGGCTCATTGTATTCGTGACCATTTCCTACACCCATTTGAGGTGCAATTGTGGAACAACTTCTTTCACTGTTCCATAGCCTTCTTGACTCAAGAGTTCCTACAATTGGAGAACTTCTCGCAAAACAAACGCAACAAAATGGTCGCGCGTTATAAAGACATGCGAAGAGAAATGGCGTTTGAGATCAGGTCGATGTGGTTTAATTTGGGTCAATACAAGATCCAATTCGTGCCATCAATGGTCGGCCCCTTCCTGGAGATGACTCTAATCCCGGAGATAGAGCTGAGGAAAGCGACGATTCCTATCTTCTTCGATATGATGCAATGCGAGTTCTATTCGCCCAAATCCGGTGCCTATACTCTACACGTGTCCTCATATCACAACTCCGACAGTCCGTCCCATCAGCGCAACACTGAATGCAAAGCCAACTTCAAGAGCTTTGAGAACGAAATGATCACTCAATTGGACGCTTTGATTGAAGGCGGCAGAGGAGATGAGCAGTTCAAAGACCTGTTCCTCGAGATCGTGGGCACCAATTGTGAACATCACTCAGCGATGAGAGAAAGCGGACTATTCTTCGTGCGAACTGTCGTCCGATTAATGAGACGTCTATTGGAGTATCGATTGGTTGTGAACGAAGAGAACAAAGAGAGTCTAATGAGTTGTACCGTAAATCTGCTCGAGTTTTACAATGAGATCGAACGCAAAGAGATGTACATTAGATATCTGTACAAACTCTGTGATCTGCACCTGGAGTGCGATAACTACATCGAAGCCGCCTATACTCTGGCACTTCACGCAAAACTCCTGAAATGGACGGACGAGCCATTGCCGCAATTGTTGAGAAATGAAAAATATCCCGAATGTGAGACTCATAGGGAACTGAAAGAGTTGTTGTACAACGAGATCATCGATTACTTCGATAAGGGAAAGCTATGGGAGACTGGGATCAGCTATTGCAAGGAAATCATATTCCAATACGAGTCCGAGATCTTTGATTACATGCATTTGAGTTCACTATTGCAACGAATGGCTGTCTTCTACGACAATATCATGAAACAAGCGCGACCTGAGCCCGAGTACTTCCGAGTGGCATATTATGGCCGCGGATTCCCCGCATTCCTCCAGAACAAGACGTTCGTCTATCGCGGCAAAGAATACGAGAGATTGAGTGAGTTTAGTGGACGCCTATTGAATCAGTTCCCAAACGCGCAACTCATGAACAAATTGGATCCGCCGGGCGATGACATCACAGACTCGAACACTCAGTATTTGCAGATCAATAAAGTGGACCCAATTATGCAGGAAAGGGACAAATTTCGCGGCAAATCAGTTCACGAACAGATCGTTCGCTATTATCGCGTAAATGAAGTCCAAAAATTTACTTATTCTCGACCTCTTCGTAAGGGAGAGAGGAATTCGGACAATGAGTTCGCAGACATGTGGATAGAGAGGACAACTTTGTTGACATCGTATGCATTACCGGGTATTTTGCGCCGATTTCCCGTCACTCAGACCAATACGTTTGAATTGAATCCGTTGGAGAACGCCATCGAAACCATGGAAAACAGCAATAAGAAGGTTAAGAATCTGATTATTCAATATCGCTCTGATTCTGCGCTACCCATCAATCCCTTGAGTCTGGCCCTCAACGGTATAGTCGACGCCGCCGTTATGGGAGGGATAGTTAACTACGAAAAGGCGTTTTTCAATGACGACTATTTAGCGAAACACCCGTTCCGTAAGGATCAGGACGGCATCACTCGACTTAAAAACTTGATTGCATTGCAAATACCGCTTCTGGAGGTTGGAATAGGTCTCCACAAACAGCGAGCGCCTCCCAGTCTGATACCATTTCACGAGCACATGGAGGAGGCGTTCGCCAAACTTAAGAACAATGTCGAGGAAAGGTATGGCAAACGATCACTTCCTGAAGACTTAGTCGAAAGATTTAATGTGAAGATAAGACGCGGAATAAGTGATAAAAACAGACAAAACCCGAACTCTCACTCATCTGCGCCCACAAAAGTATTTGATAGGAATTCTTCCGGAAGTCTTTCCAACGATTCGTGAGTTTATTGTATTTTGAATTGTATTGAAATGATATTAACTGTCGGTTAGTATGTCCTTAAGTCCATCGAAGAGCGGCCGTTCGATCTCTGTTTGGGTTAAACCGAATTCCATGAACAACAACAGTGTGTCCACGACTAACCTCTTCAGCTCCAGTACTCTCTCCAAACTGAAGAAGCAATCGTCCAAAGATGGGGTGCATATGAGGCGCTCCAACAATGAGAACAGCTCTCAGGCCACTCAGTGGTACGCACCCGACCTCTTCAACAAAGGGGACACAAACCAAACGTCACAACCGGTTATTGAATTGTCGGAACCCTTATCATCGCACAGACCGTTGCGCTCGGAATATGACCGAAGACTGAGTCGACCAGACAGTGGACAATACAGAACACACAGCACTCACTCTCCCACTCGTAGCCTAAGCCACGGCGCCTCCTCTACCAGTCTCTCCATATCTCCGCATTCAAACTCATACACCGAAACCATTGACGACAAACCGCCTCCGCTTCCCTTAAAGCAGTCGTTTGCCGATTACACAAATCTGTCAGAAAACGGAACTAATGGTAACGATTTGACACTTGTTTCGACCAAAAGAAATTCCGGGAGTATGAGCTCCACTCCCATGTTCAAGCATAAAGTGAGTCACCATTTGTCTCAAGTAATGAATTGTTTTGAAATTAATGAATTCGTATGAATACAGCCGCCGCCCCCACTCCCCGACAACTCCAGTTCTCCACTCTCACCACCAGAGCTTCCAAAGAAACCCCAACGACCCGCACCATCTCCAGTGCCATCCAATCAAAGCGACCAAATCATCGATAATTAACTAAAGAGTATTTAAGAAATTTATTTTTCAAACTATACGATCACTTGAAGTGAGTTTTGAATTTGAATTTATTTTCTAGTCTTCCAAAATGATGTTTACCTATAAATCAATTTTATATATTTTGCAATTTTTTATTTGTTTTTCTCTATATTTATGATTATTTTCAGTTTATTTTTGATTATAGGGATCAAACATTTGATAAATTTATTTTTTTCAGATAATTAGTTATTAGTTTTAATCATTGAGTTTAATATTTATTTTTTATTTACACAAGTATTCCGGAGTGCCTTATGTTCTATGAGTGCCTATAATTGCAATTTAATAATATGTAAATTTATTTATTAATGATTTATTTAATATATAAATGGATTCATATTTAGATAAAAAAATTAGTTTATTAACGATAACAATTTCTTAATTTATTTTGATATGTATTTGAATAAAAATATATAACATTACTGTGGCTTATATTCTTCGAGCTCTGCGAACATATCACCCAAATTGCTGAACGCTATATCGTCTTCATTAGGCTTTGCATTGCTTTTAGTCTCCAATTCATTCTTATAGCTCAACACATCCACTATCACTTGTTTCACATTCTTTCGCACAGTCTTACGAATGTCTGAAATTATAATGTATTATAAGAGGGGTATTAGTATTTGATAATAATTTAAAGTTATGGTAACCTAAGGAGATTTAAGACCATTGTATGAAGTTAGTCTAGAATATAGTCTAGAATATAGTCACTAGACGTCTGGAATATTATTTAAAATAGTAATTCTTAAAGTAATGATACCTTTCAACACATAACCGGAATCAACGATAGTCTTATTCTTTTGCTTCCAAATGGTGTACAACTGGTAGAAGACCCCCGAATAGAACCAATTGAATACTTTGAGCACACATTTGGCTTCATTGCACTCCTTGTTAAGCAAACCCTCTCTAAGGACTTGTA